GGGGATAAAAATATATTATATGTTTATAAAAAATAGAATTAAAAAAAAAACTGGGAGGAGAAACTCATCCCAACTCATTTTAAGAGATTAACATTACCTGAAACTAAAGCCATACAAAGACACGACAAGAAAACTAGACTAATATCACTTATGAACACTGATGCAAAAATCCTCACTGAAATACTTAAAACCAAATTCTGTGTAATATTAGAAGGATTATTATATATCATGATCTAGGGGCTAATTCCTGGACTGCAATGATGGTTCAAAATATAAAACAAAAACAATGCAGAATTGTTCTTGTCTATTTATCCATAGAATGAAGGAAAAATAAAAACCATGATCATCTCAAATGATGCCAAAACTGTATATGACAATATCAAACACTGTTTTCATGATAAAAACACTCAATGAACTATTCCTAGGAACTTTCTTCAACATGATAAAGGCCATATGGGAAAAACCCACAGATACCTTAGTCAATGGTAAAAGAGAAATGCTTTTTCTCCTCTAAGACAGAAGAAAAAGATGTCCACATTTTTTCTTGTATTCAACAAGATATTGGAACTTATAGCCAGAGCCATTAAATAAGAAAAAGAAACAAAAGGCATTCTAATTGTCAGGAATAAAATTATCTTTTTGTAGCGGACATAATTTTATAATGTATAAAACTCTAAAAAACCTACCCCCCAAAAAAAACCTGTTAGTAAAGTTACAGGATCTAAAATCAAGACAGAAAAACCAGTTATGTTATACAAAGCAATAATGAACAATCTGAAATGGAAAGTAACAATTTGTTCTACAATACTGTAAGAAGAATACACTTAGGAATTAACTTAAACAAGGAGGGAACAGACTTGTATACTTATATTCCATATAAGACTGCTAAAAGAAATAAAAGAAGACACAAATAAAAGGAAAGATATCCCACATTCATGGACTGGAAAACCTAATATGTTGACAATACTACCCAAAACAATCTACAATTCAATGCAATCCCTATTAAAATTTCAGTGATGTTTCAGGCAGAATAGAAAAACCCATTCTCAAAGTCATATGAAATCTCAAGGTTCCCCAAACTGCCAAAACAAACTTGAAAAAGAACAAAGTTGGAGGGCTCACACATCCCTGATTTTAAAACTTGCTACAAAGCTATAGTAATCAAAACAGTGTGCCACTGACATAAGGACAGACAGACCAATGGAATAAATAGACATCCCAGATATAAACCTCTACATATATGGTTAACTGAGTATTGACAATCATGCCCAGACCATTCAATGGGGAAAAGACCATCTTTTCAACAAATTGTGCAGAGAAAAGTCGACATTCACATGGAAAAGAATGAAACTGGACTCATACCATATATAAAAATTAACTCTAAATGAATCAAAGACCTAGGTGTAAGATCTAAAACTGTAAAACTCTTAAAAGAAAACACAGGGGAAAACCTTCATAATGTTAGATTCAACAATAATTTCTTGGGTATGACTCAAAAGCACAGGCAACAAAAGAAAAAAATAAACTGGACTTTATCAAGTTAAAAACTTTTGTGTATCAAAGAATGCTATCAAGAGAGTGAAAAGGCAACCCACAGAATGGGAGAAAATATCTGAAAATTATATATCTGATAAAGAATTGATATTCCTAATGTATAAAGAACACCTACAACAAAATAATCCAATTTAAAATTGGTGAAAGGACTGGAATAGGTATTTCTCCAAAGGAATTTTATAAATGACTAATAAATACATACATGAAAAAATGTATTCAACAATACTAGCCATGTGGGAAATTCAAATCAAATCCATAATGAGATACAATTTCATATCCTTAAAATGATTATTTAAAAAAAAAGTGTTGGTGAGTGTGTGGAAAAACTACTCTTATTCATCACTAATGGAAATACAAAATGGTGTGGCACTGTGGAAAACAGTTTGGTAGCTCTTCCGAAAGTTAAACAGAATTATAATATTATCCAGCAATTCCAGAGCTAGATATATATCTGAAGAAATTGAAAGCAGAGACCCAAATGGACAGTTGTACCCTCATGCTTATAGAAGCATTATTCACAATAGCCAAAATGTTGAAACAATCCAAGTGTCCATCAGCAGATGAATGGTAAATAAAATAAAGTATATACATACAAGGAAATACTAGTCATGAAGAAGAATGAAATTCTGATATACACTGCGACATGTAAATATTACACTAAGTGAAATAAGGCAGACACAAAAGGAAAAATATTCTATGTTTCTACTTAAGAGGCACCTAGAATAAATTCACAGGAAAAGAAAGTAGGGCAGGTTATGAGAGGCTGGAGGAAGGGGAAGGAAAAATGGGGAGTTCTTTAATGGTTACAGAGATGTTTGGGATGATGAAACAGTTTTAGAGATGAACAGCGGCAGTGGATATTCAACACTGAGTGTACTTAACGGCACTGAAGTGTACATTTAATGGCTAAAATGGTATATTTTATATATGTTTTACTTCACTTTAAATAAAAGTAAAAAAAAAATTCACTGAAAGAAATATGCAAGTCCTTACTTAGTGCTAAATAAGCAGACTTCCACAACTTAGTGGATCACTTACAGAGTGGTGCAATGATTAAGATGACAGGCTCTGAATGAAGTTACACTGCCCAGTTCAATCCTGGCTCTTCCCTTCTGTAGCTGTGTGACCTCAGGCAAGTTGCTTTATCCCTTTGGTTAGCTTCCAAATCTAAGTGAAATTACTAGTATCTTTCTCATAGGATTGTTGTGAAGATTAATGAATTATTCACTCATTATGGCCTTTAGAAAGAGTTAATTCATACGAAGTACAGACACAAAGAGATTGATAAGGATGAACTCACTGTTAGTAGCGATCTATTTTTTTTTAAAGATTTTATTTATTTGACACAGAGATCACAAGTAGGCAAAAAGGCAGGCAGAGAGAGAGGGGGAAGCAGGCTCCCCACTGAGTTGGGAGCCCGATACGGGGCTCAATTCCAGGACCCTGGGATCAAGACCTGAGCCGAAGGCAGAGGCTTTAACCCACTGAGACACCCAGGTGCCCCTGTTAGTAGCTATCTAAACAAACCCATCAGTCCACATCCAAAATTTAATATGAAATGCCTTTGATCTGAATTTTGGTGTTCAATTTCAGAAAATTACCCATTATAAACATGTAAATTCTCAGATGTCCATTGTCAGAAATAGGTTTTCTCACAGTACTTTTTTTTATCATTTTTAAATTTAAATTCAATTAATTAACATATATTATTGGTTTCAGAGGTACAGGCCTGTGATTCATCAGTCTATTATACCCAGTGCTCATTACATTACATATCCTCTCTAATGTCCACCACCCAGTTACACCATCTACCCACAGCCATCCCCTCCAGCAACCCTCAGTTTCCTTCCTATGATTAAGAGTCTCTTATGATTTGTCTCCCTGACTTCATCTCATTTTACTTTTCCCTCTCTCCCCCTATGCTCCTCTGATGCTCCTGTTTTGTTCTTAAATTCCATGTATCAGTGAAATCATATGATACCTTTCTTTGACTGATTTATTTCACTTAGCAAAATACCCTCTAGTTCCATCCACATCATTGCAAATGGTAAGATTTTATTTGATGTCTGAATAGTATTCCATCTTCTTTATCTTCTTTATCCATTCATCTGTTAATGGACATTTGCATTCTCTCCATAGTTTGGCTATTGTGAACACTGCTGCTATAAACATTGGGGTGCAGGTGCCCCTTCGGGTCACTACATTTGTATCCTTGGGGTAAATACCCAGTAGTGCAATTGCTGGGTCATAGGGCGGCTCTATTTTCAGCTTTTTAAGGAACCTCAATACTGTTTTCCAGAGTGGCTGCACCAGCTTCCCCATGAGCATTCCCATCAACTTGTGTAGGAGGGTTCCCCTTCCTCCGCATCCTTGCCAACATCTGTTGCTTCCTGACTTGTTAAATTTTAGCCATTCTGACTGATGTGAGATGGTCTATTACAAAGCTGTAATCATCAAGACAGTATGGTACTGGCACAAAAACAGACACATAGATCAATGGAACAGAATAGAAAACCCAGAAATGGACCCTCAACTCTGTGGTCAACTAATCTTTGACAAAGCAGTGAACAATATCTAATGGGAAAAGGACAGTCTCTTGAACAAATGATGTTGGGAAAATTGGATAGCAACATGCAAAAGAATGAAACTGGACCATTTCCTTACACTGCACACAAAAATAGACTCAAAATGGATACAAGACCTAAATGTGAGACAGGAATCCATGAAAATCCTAGAGGAGAACACAGGCAGCAACCTCTTTGACCTTGGCTATAAAACTCTTGCTAGATACATCTCCAAAAGCAAGGGAAACAAAGGCAAAAATTAACTAGCGGGACTCTATCAAAATAAAAAGCTTTTGCACAGCAAAGGGAAAAGTCAACAAGACCAAAAGACAACTGACAGAATGGGAGAAGATATTTTCAAATGACATCAGATAAAGGGCTAGCATCCAAAATCTATAAAGAACTTATCAAACTCAACACCCAAAGAAAATCCAATCAAGAAATGGACAGAAGACATGAAGAGACAATTCTCCAAAGACATCCAAATGACCAACAGATGCATGAAAAAATGCTCTACATCACTCGGCATCAGGGAAATACAAATCAAAACCACACTGAGATACCTTCGCCTAGTATTCTGATGTCTGGTCTATGTGCTTTCCTATACTATAGATATCATTAAGGTGGCAAAAAACACATATATTAGGTATCCTTCACTGTCCTTTCCTTCCATATTTCATAATTTGCATGAAGAGTTCCTTCAACTTACTATGAATCACGTAACTTTCTCATTTATAATTGCAGCTAAGAAACTTAAACTTACAGAAGGTTGACAGTGGTTTGTTTTCTCTAAAATTCATTTTAGGTGCTCATTTCCATTATACATTTCTACTTAAAATTTGAAAAAATTTACTTTGTATCAAAGGAATACTAAATACTTACCAATTGAAGATAGAAATTGGCAGGACTATTTATATGACAAACCATAACTGAAACATCTGTCATTTCTTTAGGCAAAATAGGTGGGTGATAGTGTAAAGTCATATTTTTTTCAGAGTGGCTTCTTGGCAATTGTGACCTAAACCTGATTAAAAACATAATCAAAAGCATAAGCAGGTCATTTTCTTAAAATCGCTCTTCTCTTAGCAACTTGGTCTGAAGGAAGGACTTGTACATAGACTAATTAATCTACCTAGAGTATTCTCTTTCCAATTTCTTTTCTAATACATTTCTTGGTATTGTCTTCAATTATCAAACCAAGTGAGATGTCAAACTTGAGATGTCAAGTCTCAAAAATCAATAATTGATCTTCGAATTTGTGTTGGGACATTTTTGAGCCAGGTCTGTGTCTTCTACTCGAAGTTCCTCTTTGAGGAACTGACAACCACGGACTGTGGTAGCACTCAGTAAGGCCACCTGCGGGGTGTCTGTGACCCCATCCAGCTCTAATACTACTATTGTATTTCCACAATGAGATCTACTTGGGTCACTTCCAGAGTCATCTCATCACTCAGGACAAAAAGTTAGTATCTTTCACTATCCCTATTGTTAGTCATCTTACTTTGTTCATCAGTGATGGGGGTGGAGGAAGTAACTTTAAGTATCTATTCTAAATTCCTACATTAAATACAGAATGGTGATCATGAACTTATTCCAGTGGTTAGAAAATTTAAGCCAGGAACTTTAAACTATGATTCTTAAAACCCTAGTAGAACTGTTTGTGAAATTATCAAGAATCTAAAAAAATGTTCAGTATCTACAAATAGATTCCTTTGAGTTACCTTAATTTTTCTATTTACTTAAATTATCTGAATGCAGTTTTCAGATAACCGTACTTAGAGAGCCCTGGTAGCAATATTTTTAACCTCTTAGATTATGCTTTAGAGTCAGTCCATAGTTTTTATAGGTAAACTCTGTTATTCCAATTTATAACTACACCTCAAAGTATTTGTTTTAATAAGTTACCTACCTTGCTAACTCCATAAAAACTAATGCATCTCTAAGAGACACAGGCATATCACTGCTTATTTTATTTGTTGGTGGTTTCTGCAGATCTACAATTAGCACACCATCTTCTTCTCTAAAAACTTTCATTAAAACAGCCTTGTTATTTACCATTTTCAAAAATTCTACTTTGGCTTCTTCTCCCCAGCCTTCATCCTGTGAAAAAAGTAGAATTCCAATGTACTTAATAACTACAATTAGCTCTAATGGTACCATGCTCTGGATTTAGCTTTTACTTTATTTTTCTTTGTAAATCCAAAATACAATCAAAGTCTGCAAACTTGAGCACAGGGGCTCAACCACAGATACTAAACAATACCTAGGGCCAGATCCAAGGTCAGTGTTTATGTATGTACAATATATGAATTTTTTTTTAGTGAGTTCTGTTTCCAGTGTGGGGTTTGAATTCATGATCCCGAGATCAAGAGTCACATGCTCTACCAAATGAGCCAGCCAGGTGCCCCTAGATCTTTGATTTTTATGAACAGTCTCAAGGTGTCCATTAAGCTGTTGTATTTTAGAATTTAGTTTCACTTCTGAATATTTATATATATATATGTGCATATATATATAACATATTATATAACATTATATAAATTATAAATATTCTAAAATAAAACATATGATTTTTCCACTTAAATAACACAAATTCAAAAGGTAATTTTGGGGTGCTTGGGTGGCTCAGTTGGTTAAATGTCCGTCTCAGCTTAAGTCACGATCCCAGGGTCCTGGGATTGAGCCCCACATTGGGCCCCCTGATTGGCGGGGAGTCCGCTTCTCCCTCTCCCTCTCCCCACGGCTTGTGCTTTCTCTCCCTCTCTCTCTCAAATAAAGAAAAAGAAGAGGTAAATTTGAAAGTATACTGGAAGCCATGTAATGTAATCAAGGTGTTTATAATCATCAGTTTCCATTTAACTGGGAATATATGAAGTATATGGTATTTAAATAATGAAAAATATTCACCCATTTAAAAAAAAATTTAAGTTGATCTTTGAACCTTTAAGTTTCCATACCTAAAGAAAATATCAAGGGTTAAAACTACACATTCCTGGTGTTAAGTTCTTTATATATTTTGAATATTAACCCCTTATCAGACATACCATTTGTAATTATCTTCTCTCATTCAGTAGGTTGCCTTTTGTTTTGTTGAGGATTTCCTTCATTGAGCAAAAGTTTTTTATTTTGGTGTATTCCCAAATATGTTATTTTTGCTTTTATTTCCTTTGCCTGAGGAGACATATCTAGAAAAATATTGCTAAGGCTGATGTCAGAGAGATTACTATCTATGTTTTATCTAGGACTTTTATGGTTTCAGGTCTCACATTTAGAAATTTAATTTTGTGTTTCTTTTTGCGCATGGTATAATCAAATGTTCCAGTTACATTCTTCTGCCATGTAGCTGTCCAGATTTCCTAGCACCATTTATTGAAGAGATGGTCTTTTCCCCGTTGTATATCCTTGCCTCCACTGTCATGGATTAATTGATTATATAAGCATGGTTTTATTTCTGGGCTCTCTATTCTGTTCCATTGATCTGTAAGTCTATTTTTGTATCAGTACCATACTGTTTTTTTTTTTTTTTTTTTTACTTTGGTTTTGTAGTATATTATGAAATCTGGAATTGTGATATCTCCAGCAGAGTTGGTTAGTCACTATGCTGTATACCTGAGACTAATGTAACAGTGTGTGTCAACTATACTCAAACTTCTTAAAAGCTACAGGTTGCTTAAAAACAAAACAAAAAAAAAACCTCTTTCTAAAGATTATAAAGTTTATTCAGAAAATGCAAAGAAGTATAAAAGCCAAATTTAAACCAGTTTTACCATTTTGGGGAAAACAGCTAATACTTACGTTTCCTTTTACATTTTTTTTCATTTACTCATTCTTTCAAATATCTGTCAAATGCCTTTTATGTGCTATGTAATCTGCTAAGCACTGGGAATACAATGATAGGCAGAGACACAGATTCCTGCTTTCAAAGCCTTCATAAAATAACCATTTAACATATATTCTTACACACATTTTCTGTCTTGTAAGAGTTTTTAAGGCTTGCTGGGGAATAGATATTCATAAACAATACAAAGCAGAATACAACTAATGAACAAAGTGTCATGAAAATAGTGAAGAAATTTATAGAAACACATGCCAGACCATATTTTAAAATTTATTTTTCTCTCCATATGTGACTCAAATTTAGTGCTTTATTTGGATTCATTCCAAGTATATGTTTATTCATTTGTATATGTTTATTCAACTCAACTTCCCATTAATAATGTTTCTAATTATGGAAACTGAAGTTCATTTCCTTTTTTACTGGCACTGATAATTTATTATACAAAATGCACTTTACCAAAAGAATTGATGCCTTGAACCTACACTTTGCAATCTAACGGCAATACATAGCTAAAACTGAGATATTTAGCCCCCAGAAGAAGAAATAATTTAAGTTTCACTTACTGAATTCTGTGGAACAATGTCTTTCAGTGAGCATGGCAGTGCTAGTGGCTGGATGTCTTTCAGCAGCCCTTCAATATATGGTTCAGACTTCCTTAGAACTAGGCATAAGTCATTTAGTACTATATGCTGCTCAGCAATGTGTTCTGATCTTGCATGGGTATCACCAACCCTAAAAGAATTCAGGTAATATTTATTGAAAATAATACTTGAAACCCAAACTTGCTTTCTCTACATAAAAGGTATGCATTTCTAAGGATACTTTATTTAAGCTAAATCTTCTAGAAAGTTGTATTCTAATTCATACTTTCCTACTACATAGATTTAATCCATATTTTATAAGCACAGACAGTACTTTTATCTATAAAATAAAATCTCAGCTGACTTTATCTGTCTTTCCTATATTTGTTCAAGTTTAGACTTAAAGGGGATAATGATAATGATGCCTCCAAACAGAAAACTATTTATTTATAAAGCTAGAACCATTAAATAGTGACCATTCTATACAGTTAACACGGGTCCTTACCAAAGAAACATTTTCAGTTTTTTTAATTTATTATTATTGTTGTTTTATTTTCCTAGAAGATTGAGGGAAATATTTTTGAGTACCTAGGGTTAGCTTTAATAATTATAGAAATCTGATTTAAAATTCTACTCAATCATCCTGCAGCTAACTATAATACTTTATTTAAAAGAAATATTTTTGTGCATCATTCCCTCTTTCGAATAAACACAGAAAAGTACTTAAATTTGGATACATCAAAAAGCTCCTTTTCCAAAATAACAGAAAAAAACCTACTCCTTTTCCAAGCTCCTCATGTAGTAACACAAATAAATGATAATACTTTACTAATTTAGTAGTCAGTAAAACAAATAAGAGAACAAAATAAAAAGTATATGCCTTAGAAGTAAAAAATGATAAATTACTCCTTTCTATTCTTTCCCAATTTCCTTTATTCTTCAGTATTTCACCTCCCCCCGCCCCCGATAGCCAATGTTTCCAAACAGGCCAGGAACATGTAATACCATACCCTGAAACAATAAGGACTTCAGAATTTCCAAAATCTACCATGAATATTTGTATTAGTGCAACTTCATGGACTGAGAATTTGGTTGGACTACAAAGTTTTCTAACATGTTCACTTTCTATTGGAATTAATTCAGTGATAGTTCCTCGACACCACATCCCATTTTCAATACTGTTGACAAATATTCTTGCACCTAAATAATAAGGAAGACAAATCATTATCAGTGTTTATGAAGAAAAATACCTAATTAGCTCTAATTTATGAACATGTATATTAGTTCCACCACTAAGAAATTTTAATTAATTTATTTCCTGAAGACTTAGTACATGTCGAGTGCTATGAACAATATAAAGGTGGTATATTGTGATAGTTCCTATTATATAGGTAGCTGGGGAGGTAAATGCAAAGTTACCAGTCTCTTATTGAGGACCTATATTTTATGAACTATAACAAAGATGAATGAGACTATCTTGCAATAAAGAAGCTCAAGAAAGGGGGCACCTGGGTGACCCAGTGGGTTAAGCCTCTGCCTTCGGCTCAGGTCATGATCTCAGGGTCCTGGGATCAAGTCCTGCATCGGGCTCTCTGCTTAGCAGGGAGCCTGCTTCCCTCTCTCTCTGCCTGCCTCTCTGCCTACTTGAAATCTTGCTCTTTCTGTCAAAAAAAAACCAAAAAACAAACCAAACCTCAAGAAAGGAAAAGAGATAGGCAATTAAATGTACTTAAAACAATAAAGACATTCTACCCCATGTATACATACACATACATGTATAGACATATACATGCTGAAATTTATAAAATCATTTGGTAGCATAAAGGAAGAAACAATTACCTTCTCTTGATAAAGAGGAATCAAAGTAAAGAAACAATGAAAGGCTATATATGACATGCCAAAATTAAATTAATACACAATGGGGTTCAGAGAAGAGGAAGATGAACCAAGGACCTAGCAGCAGAGAGATCAGATGAATTACAAATTAATTCGGGAAAAAAAGGTCAAGGAAGAAAGAGGCCCGAATTTGAATGCTTCCTATGAGCTCAGTGATGTTCTCAGTGTTCTGTGTTTGAATTTACTTACTCCCACAACAACCCTATAGAGATAGGGCTTTCATCACACAGGTAGGCAAAGGTGGTCTTAGAGCCCATCCTCTTAACAACTAAGCTACCTATCAGAGATAAATTGATAGATCTCACCACTCACTATATACAGAGGGATGCTGTATAAATCCCCTCTGTATATGCTAATTAAAACAGGATAGCTGAGAGGCACATTAGGGTAGCCTTTTAACTTTTAGTTCTATGAAAATGTTTATCTGGCCTAAAGATTGTCATCAACATTTCTCTTATGTTGATATACCACATAACCAATATTCTGAGTTTTAAACTATATGCTATGAAACTATTCTTTTTCACTATAGGTAAGATAAAAGCCTATTGAAGACATTTGTTCTTTATAATGAAGAGCACAGGTAGGAAAAGGGAACAAGAGGATAGCCTCTTAAAGCATCTTAAAGTTCTTTCCTTGTCACTTTCTTAAAATATGAATGAGTATTCAAGTCATGTAAATTTATTTACCTGAAACAATAATTATACTTAATTTAAAACAAAGGATGACTGTGGCTTTTTTAGAACATTTTCTCAATCTAAGTTGAACTCTTTTGGGCATGTATTAAATTTTAAGAGAAATATTTGTAGCCATAAATGTTTAATACTATACTTTTCTTTTCTTAGATACTCATAATTTACTGTTCTCTAAAGTTTAAAATTACCATCAGTTTTTGTCAGAAGTGTATGATAAACCTAGATTTTGGATATTCTTTTTTTTTTTTTAAAGATTTTATTTATTTATGAGAGAGAGCGCGCGAGCACAGGCAGACAGAATGGCAGGCAGAGGCAGAGGGAGAAGCAGGCTCCCTGCAGAGCAAGGAGCCCGATGTGGGACTCGATCCCAGGACGCTGGGATCATGACCTGAGCCGAAGGCAGCTGCTTAACCAACTGAGCCACCCAGGCGTCCCGATTTTGGATATTCTGATAAGCCACACAGATGAGCTAAGAGTTAATCACATTCTTAAAGAACGACTACATAACCTTAAACACATAATAATTTTTGGTATTATGTATAGGCATTGATTGCTATTAAGAGAACAGTTTTCTCACTATGTTAATAAATCAAATCATAGTTTTACCTTATTACAAGAGTATAATTAAATTTAGTCAATGAGTTATAAAGAAAATATTTGTAATAAAAGCCTAAATTATGGCAAATTACACATACCCTTAAAATTAAGATAGACTGATTAAGTTTACCAACTACTCTCTGAGTGGCCCTAGGAAATAGACAACACTGTTGTGAGTTAAATGAGCACCTCATTTAAGTGCTTAATGACATCCTCAATATTCACATGTGGGACAGCAAGGGACTGTAGTTATACTATAAGGAATCATCTTATGGGCCAGTTTTCCCTGGGGACAAGGAAACTGTGAAGGGTTTTGTAACTTAAAAAAAAACTACTTTCACTCCATAATGATAGTTTTTGTATATACCTTACTCAGCAGTCAATATTTACCTAACTTACCTAAATAAAATTACATTACGTAATTATAAAACTTTTATGCTTGGAGCACAAATCCGTATTATAAAAGGTCTACATGGGTTGGCCAAATACTATAATATTTAAATGAACTTAATACTTTAGCTTGGAATAAGATTTGTTTACCTAGTTCCAAAATGTCTGAAGGATCAAGGTGTAAACTCTTATTGCAAAACTGATTCACCTTCTTTTCCAATACTGTTGCATCTTTAATTTGTGAATATTTCCGGATATAAAAGTGGCAAGGATGTATTACATGGCTTACAAAAACTAGCTCTGGAGAACCTAGATAAGAATATTAAAACCACATTAATAAATCATAGAAAGAATTCATAAAAACTGAATGCAATACCCTCTAAAAGAATATTAAGTGTCTTGTGGCACTGAAAACTCTAGAATACTTAGGCCCTACAAGAGTCCACACCCAAAATAGTAACCAGACCACTAAAACAAACAGATCCCACTTTCAACATTAAATTCTTTAGCAACCTGAACTGCAAATATTTTATTTTACTTGTCAAGTATGTTAAATGGAATTGTAGTTCATGTGATAATTAGATTCTAAAGTCAAAATATGCTGTAACTCTACAGCATTATAACAAAACATCAGAATTTAGTTATGAACATTTTGGAACTCAGAACTCTATTCATAATAGGTAGGTCTCTTGCATATCACAAAAACTCCTGTTTCTACTATACCCAAAGAACCAAGAATAAGCCCATAGACACTCTGAATACAAATCTTATCTGGCTTAGAAAAGTGAAAAAAATGTCTGTGCAAAGTGAATGTACTGAGCATCATTTAGGGGAGGATGTGTGTGTTTTGGTGAAGGTTGCAGGGTTGGTGAGGGTAGAATAAAAGAGAAAAATATTTGTATATAGCAATAACGAAGCCAAATGCAGCTACTGAAAAGATGTCCAGAATAAATGTTAAAAAAGGAATTAAAAGAACAGAACAGTGTGCATGGTATGCTATGTTTCATGTACAAAAACAGAAAAATTATATATATGTATATGCAAAGAAACTCTGGAAGGGAGGGAGAGACTGAATGAAATGGACAGGTTAGGGGAAAATTTCACAGTATTTTAATATATGATTTTTTAACAATGTAGATGTTTTATTTAGTAAAAATGTTTAAAACACAAAGAATAGGGAAATGTGGAATTGGAGACAGTAAATATAGATGATAAAAACAAAACAAATGGATCATTTTAACTGTCTGATACAGATCAAAAAGAATAACTATATTGAGGATGGAGTAAAGAAATTAATATGTTTAAGTACGGAGGCAGTTGAGAGAAGTGTTATAGATTTCAGAAATATTTTTGCCAGTAACAGCTAACATTTTTAACATTAAAAGGAAGAAGTTTTAGTTAACAGTAAAATTCATTTAACTCACTACCTTCACACTACATTAGATTACTTTACATAAAGCAAACTCCACAACATCAAGTTCAGAGTTGTTAAAGTACTTGCTTTTGATCCGAAAGGGAAAGATGAGTTTTTCTGAAAAGGTTTTTTTGGATCTCTAAGTGTTCCCACAAGATAATCTGTGAAGCATGTTTCATCAAAATAGGAAATAAAGGCAATCGTACTAGTTTTATTAGGTTGACAATGGCACACTATTGCTTAAAAAGCTGTACTTGAGGGGCGCCTGGGTAGCTCAGTGGGTTAAAGCCTCTGCCTTCAGCTCAGGTCATGATCCCAGGGTCCTGGGATCCAGCCCCACATCAGGTTCTCTGGTCAGCAGGGAGCCTGCTTCACTCCCCCCGCCAGCCCCGCCCCCCCGCCTTCCTCTCTGCCTACTTGTGATCTCTGTCAAATAAATAAATAAATAAAATCTTAAAAAAAAAAAAAAGCTGTACTTGAATTGGCAAAATACTTGAATGATAAGACTACTTTTTATCAGTAGATATAGTCATGATAGGTTTCTTAATCACTGAGATATCAGCAGTAATAATACAATGGAAACAAACAAAAATGTATGTTTTTTTTTTTGCATTCAAAAGTTCTGGAGAATCAGCCAATGAAACAGATTGGGAAGTGGAGGGCAGAAGAGAGCAAAAACTGAACTTGAAAATGGTCCTAAAGAAGACTGATAGTATACTAACTTCACAGTAGTAGTTCATGGGGAGAATACCAGCACTGTAAACCTAATCAAACTATTATGATACATTAAAATGTTACAAAACAGATGCTATTATATTCATGTCAACTTATTTTATAACAGACTATCTCTCAGAATGAAGATTTAAGAAAATCCGTTATTTATTTATTTATTTTTTTTATTAAAAATCTGTTCTTAAATTTAAGGACAAAGCCATGAGACTGCTCTCCAAATATTTCTCTTACTTGTATTTTTGTCTTTTATACAGTTTATGTGTGGAACACCAGAAAGTCAAATACCTCAATTAACCAAATATTAAATTTACATCTCAGAGGTTAGATTATTGCACTAAAAATAAAAAAATTTTTCTAACTTTAGAAAATGTGAAAGTAGGGGTAAGGAACCAACAGGTGTTAACTCATTATGAGGTATAAGAAAACAGTGTTTTTGTTGAGTACAGGGACTAATTTGTTTCTAATTACAGACATATTGTTTCCTTGCTTTTGAATTTTCACTCACTTTCCAGGTTTTCTTCAATAATTTCTTCAATGATCACATCAGGGCTAGATCCTATTTGAGGCAGAACTGCAATGGTTTTAGGGGATGGTGTTGCAACAACCTCTTTCTCTGGCTGGAAGTCTTTTGTTTCTGAATGCACATCACTGGCTTCCCGATGCAAAAATGGTGATGAGGTTTCATTACTTAGAATAGGCATGTCAACCTTTTTCTTTTCTCGAAATGGGTATGTATCATAACAGGAAAATTCCTTTTTATGATTGTATTTCTTTTGAACAGTCTGTCCCATTTCATTTTCTTGGGGATCACATCTGTTTAAAAAATAGAAGGTATTAAGGAGGACACTTTTGATGAGCATTTGGTACTGTATATAAGTGACGAATCACTAAATTCTACACCAGAACTCGATAGTATACTGCCATTTAACTGGAATTTAAATAAAAATTTGGAGAAAAAAATAAAAAATAGATAGGCATATGGCTACTTTAAGTTGTTTCATAAATTTTTTATATCTACCTTCAAGCCATTTCCTTCCTACATGACAGTTAATATTGCGAGACATATAAAGAGCTAAAGTTTTGTATAGGTGTCTCAGAAGTATTTTTTAAATAGCTTTATATTTTTTAAAGATTTGTTTATTTGAGAGAGAGAGAGAGAATGAGCGGGAGGGACAGAGGGAGAAGGAGAGAGACTCTCAAGCAGACTTCATGCTGAATGTGGAGCCCAACATGTGGCTTGATCTCAGGACCCTGAGATCATGACCTGAGCCAAAACCAAGAGTTGGACACTCATCTGGGACTGTGCCACCCAGGTGCTCCAAATAGTTTTACTGATGTGTAATTTACACAGCATAAAATTCAATAATTTTTACTAAGTTACAGTTGTGCAGCCATCACTACCATCTAATTTTAGAACATTTCCATTACCCAGAAAGAAACTTTTGCTCATTCCCAGGCCTAAGCAAGCCTAAGGGTTTTAAAAGGTCAACAAGAGGTATAATCAATGAGAAACTGAAGAAACATGATATAGTCATGACACAATCTTCTAGTCCTAAAGAACAGTGGATATAGATTTTCAAAAGAAATCATTTTGATTTGGCTTAGCTGTTTGTTTTTAAGTTGTTATGATTATTTCTTTTTTAATTTACTGGCCTAAAAATAAAGCATAGGAAATAGTAAAGGATATAATCCTGAGCAATCACCTGGCCTAAAAATCACCATTAGTCTGAATCCTTTGGGTATTATTCAATAGCCATTAACCCACAGTTAATTTATGTGGTTTACTTCATTTTTTTTTTAAATCTTCTTCACATATCCACACAGATTTAGGCTATCCATCGACAAGTACAGAAATTCTATCAAAGAAATGAGACTAAGTCTCAAAAAGCTTGTCTTTTAATTAACCCATTATGGATTTAGCTTCATCGCAGATCATCATTTAAGAAGCATTTTAGAAGAACCAACAAAGCCAATAAGATTCAGCAATGACACATATTATTGGTCTCTTCCAAAAAAAGGTATGCTTTGAACATAAGTAAAATACATGTTGAATTCAAACACCTTATGAGGATACATATATGTACCTTACTTTGCAAACTAGATTTTTTTTTTAATAACAATTTTCATTTAACCTGGGACATTTAACACTGTCAACCGACTCCAGTCTCATAAACTCCACTGACTTCTAGAACACTACTTTCTCCTGTTTGTTTTTCAACCTCCGCCTATTCCTTCTCAGTTTTGTTTTGTTTTGCAGGTTACTCTTTCTTGGTCTTAAAATTTAATATTTTTCTAGGGCACTGTCATTGATTTACGTCAATACCTGTTCTTACCAGGCAAATCTGTTGTTTAATTGCCACCTGTAATAAGTAGAAGCAGACGGTAATGATACATTCCCTTAGAACTAGGAAAAAAATTAAGACTACTCTGAATTAACTTTAAATCAAGACAAGATCAATGCAGAGTCTCAAAAGGAAAGAATAGTTTTTGACATTAAAAATATTCAATAGTAATCATATTCATGTCATTAAAATATCTAAAAGAATGTATTCATTGGGAAGGCTGAGGATTATCCATGGAAGTGCAAAAGTCAAGTCACAAAGACAAATAATGGCACAGGGCACCGTATCTGGGGAAAAATGACTTGAGCCAAAGGACTGGTACTCTAGTGCTCTGGCAAGGACTTTCCCCTGGTAGTAAAAAACATACTAGGAATGTACTATCTAGGCCTAATGCTATTAAGCTATTTGATTAACCTTACTTCTTTTATTGTAAACAACACTGCAAACAAAGTAATTTCTCATAATTTGATTTCTTAGGCCTGTTCAGATGCTGGAAAAGAATGCCAACACAAGTATTCCAGTCCATGTGGCAATTATATTTGTTTGTAAGTTAATAGTCTGGCATTCTATTTAAACTGGAATCCTGGCGTTCAGTTTTGTAAACCTGGCTTATAGGAGTTTACCTGGGTTGCAGCACATCTCTTCATGTCTGTTTCTGACTTTTAAGACTGTGGACCAAACTCTGATAACGACTGTGGATGCTACCTGGGGGATGATTTCCCCTGGAGACATACCACCTACAAAGTGAATGAACTTACTTTTTTGGGGGGGGGTTTCTAAACCATCTATATTCTGACTACTCCTAAACCCAGAATCAAGTCTAAGACCTCTTCTTTAGTTTTAGTCCATACAGCTAATTGCTCTCTGTACATTTCTCCCCAGATATCTGGTAAATAACAATAACTCAGCACTATTTCTCCACCCCTAAATTTTCTCCTTGCATTCCCAATCTTGGTAAATAATACCATAATTAATCAACTTAACCACCAAAGCCATACCTGTAAATCATTGAGGATGCTTCCTTTTTCCTCATTTATAATGTTCAATTAATAAGCTTTATCAATTTTCCCTATTTAGCATTTGTTGTATCTACTGCTCTCCTGTGCTATTACCTATGTTTGGTTTCTCATCATTTGCTGAGACTATTGATACAACAGCCCAACTAATCCTTCAGCCTCTAGCCTCATACTCTTCCAAATAATCCTCTAAATGGCCACCAAAGTTATCTTTTTAAAATGTAACCTAATTATTTTTATTTTCACATTGAAAATCTTTTAGTGGTTTCTACTGTCTACAGCTGTGCTGTCTAATACAACTTTCTGCAATAGTGAAAATGTGGGCCACTGTCTAATATGTTAGCTAAAAACCATATGTAGATACTGAACACTTTGAATGTGGCTAGTGCAATTGAAGAATCCAATTTTTCCTTTTTTTAAAAGTAATCTCTATACCCAACGTGGGGCTCAAACTCATGACCCTGAGATCAAGAGTCACATGCTTTTTACTGACTGAGCCAGCCAGGAACCCTTCCAATTTTTCCTTTAATTTTGTTTTTATTAATTTATGCTTAAATTTAAATGGGCAATGTGGTAGGTTAGTAGCTACCACAATGGATAATATGCATCTAGAAAATAAAGTTCAAATGCTGCTACACAGCATACAAAGTCTTTAGGATTTAGCCTATATGTATCCTTTGCCAAGTGGAATTATATAAGCAATTCCCTGAATGTAGCACATTATCTCACTGCCTCCCTTTTGGCCCCCTTTGTAATTGCTACTCATTTTTCATAGATAAAATAAAATTCTCCTTTTGTCAAGTGTCCTGTTATCCCCAAAAGAATTGACTATTCACTTCTTTTGCATCTCTGCTAAATTCTGCATATATTACCATCATAGCAATTATTCACTTTATTGTTTATGTGTCATCCTCTACTTATTGTAACTTCTCTGACATATATCTCAGTGTTTATGATAATGGTTCCTAGCACAAAAATCAGTATTCAATGCTGGCTGAATGAATGAATCTCAAAGATAACTTTCACACATATTATCATTTAATACTGACCCCTTCTAGGTCTTTTCACTCTTAAATTAATTAGAATTTAACTGATAGAAACCTTTGCCCTTTATATTATTTTATAGTATTTGAAATCACACATACTATACACTATACATCAATTTTCCTGTCTCTTGGGTAATTTTTCTCTTATACCTTCTCAGAAATTAATGGCATGTTGTCATTTTTTTAAGATTTATTTATTTATTTAAGAGGGAGGGAGTGTCTGTGCAGAGAGGAGGGGCAGAGAGAATCTTAAGCAGACTCCGTCCTGAATGTAGAGCCCAGTTTGGGGCTTGATTCTGCAATCCCTGAGATCAGGAACTGAGCCAAAACCAAGAGTTGGATGCTTAATCCACTGTGTCACCTAGGCACCCCTATGTCGCCATTCTTATACTTACTTTGTTAAGTCCTCGAATTCAATCTTTCCCATACTGTTGAACATACAGATGATCTCATTACAATTCATATTCAACCTAAAATAAAACATTAGCATATAAGTAAATGTTCTAATACCAGTGTATTACTTTCTCAAATAAAAGTTGCTAATATTAAAAACTCGAAAAGAACATTTTAAGTATTCTTTTTTTTTTTTTTTTTTTTTTTAAAGATTTTATTTATTTATTTGAGAGCGAGACAGTGAGAGAGAGCATGAGCGAGGAGAAGGTCAGAGGGAGAAGCAGACTCCCCATGGAGCTGGGAGCCCGATGTGGGACTCGATCCCGGGATTCCGGGATCATGACCTGAGCTGAAGGCAGTCGTCCAACCAACTGAGCCACCCAGGCGTCCCCATTTTAAGTATTCTAATAAAACTTCATTACTTTCTCTAAAAGTCAGTTACTGACATTAAACCTCAAGACAACATATTTTTCTAATTTATCATAAATTACTCTTATTTTACATATTTGCTAATTTGGGAAACATCTGTGACACAAATTTTCAATTTATAATTGCTTGCTATTTAATACATTTAGGCTCTAACACATTTTTATACTTAATCTTTAGATTCTCCTGAATTATAACTTACTTACTTGGGAGAGTTCCTCCGTTTTAGAGAACTAACTTGTAACAATTCACTCTCAAATGTTAATTTCAAAGTACGGATAATCTAGAATCAAAAGAGAAGTGTTACTCAGAGGTGAATTTTAAAAATAAATATTACTGACACAAAGATTTTACAAGGAAAACTATAGCCTTTAAGCATCTCACTAATTAATGTGTTTAAGATATAATTTTAGGCACCCAAAGGAATGGATGCAAGCAAGTGTTTAAGATTTTTCCCCTCAAGAAATTTAAAATCTTTTAGAGATGTAAATTAATAGATAACAACAAAAGATACTAGTTAACAAATGGGATATAGCTATGTAAGAAGAGAAAATTCTGATCATACTCACTTTGCATCTGCATTGCTATCCTCAATATCTTTTTGCCTTATCTTCTTGATAAATCTCAGGTGAATACCAAATCTTTTTTTCTTAAGATTTTATTTGTTAGAGAGACTGCACATGTGCACACACACAAGCAGGGAGAGCAGCAGGCAGAGGGAGAAGCAGGCTCCCTGCTGAGCAAGGAGGCCAATGTGGGCTCGATCCTAGGACCGTGGGATCATGACCGGAGCCAAAGGCAGACATTGAACTGACTGAGCCACCCAGGTGTCCCAGGTGAATACCAAATCTTACAGTTTTTTACACCTCCTAATGGCTCATTTGTAATACACAGGAAATGACTGTTTTTAGAACCATGGCTAGAGAGAGGTCTGACCAAGTTAAGATGATGGCAAATTCCTCTCCCTTCACTTAGAGATTTTGGAGGCAGATAAACAAATGCCTTCTATTTTATACCTCAATTCATCCCAAACACCTGATTATCTATGGGAAAAGGCCATGAGGAATCAAAAATTATAGAACAGGATCTATATCCCAAAGGAGCAAGGTAGAAATCAGAAAAAAAAGATGGTTAATCCTGTCTTGCCAAACGATCTCATCAGAAAACATGTTTTTGTTTTTGCCCAACTGTGCTCCCTCGGCATATTATTAGATGACAGAAAATAGTGGAAGCACTCTGTCTCTTGACCTGCACATTTAGGGAGGCAAAGGAAGAAAACGGAAAAAAAAACCCTGAATGAGAACTTGAATTAAGTTTTAAGTCAAGAATTGGTAGTCATATCTAAATTGCTTATGAAAAAAGAGAATCCCATTTAGTTTTCTGCCCTTACATGTTCTCATTTTTTATTCAAATGTTCTAGGAACATTAATTTCCAACTCAATGTCACCCTACTTGCTTTCAGATCACGTGTTATAAAGACCTGATTACTAAAAAAATAAATAAATAAATAAAGACCTGATTACTGCACCATTTCTCTAACTGGTAAATAACAATAAAAGGCTAAACAAATTTATTAATATTTATCTTAGAATTCAAACACTAAGAATTCTAAATTGAGGCCAAGAAAAGTTAGGATAATCTAAAAATAAATGCTTATTAAGTCTTAAATATCATATTCCAAAGCATGTAAAGTAATATACCTCAGAAATAAATTCATATTATGGTCAAAATTACCTGATTGAGGTCACAATAAGTCCTTAAAGAAGGTGCTGATTTTAACTCTCTTGCTATCTTCATAGCGGCAGCCAAATCATTTTTTTTGTCTTCAATGTAGCTTTTAGCCATTATTACATTTGAAAGATAATCATCTGTATTTCTTACTACTTCTTCACATAGGTTCTTCTTCCTTCATATAAGATCCCAAAATTATATTACAGAATTTCATAAATGTTCATATGAAAGTGAGTTTATAGGAACTGAGTGATATCAAAAGGATAAATTTCACTTGTTTATGAACATGGCTAAAGGGGCATTCAATTCAACTGAAACATTATAATTGAAAACTATGTATGCATAACTAGAGAAAAAGTAGAAGGATATTATGTCACAGATACAGCTGTCACAGAACTATAGAAGACATACCCTAGATGATCCCACCTAAAAGAGAAATCCTATCTTGTAATTACTTGTGCCATTTCAAAAACAATTTTTATTCATTTCCGACCAAGATATACCTGCACACTTTAAAATTTCCATCAGTTGACACAAATTACATAAATATGAGATTTTAAAATAAGACTTCACCAAACCAGAACACAAGTGTCAATTAACTATAGTCTTCAAAGTAATCACTTAGAATGGCAATTAATGATTCCTCCATTATTTGTACCTCATTACTCAAAATCTTCTCTGGACCTATGATGGAATTACTTTATTATGGCAATTAAAAAATTTTGTACCAAAAATCGTAGTGTGTAACTTTCTCCTTTTATTACTAAACAAATGACTATTATTTCCTCAAAATCAAATCTGGCCCCCAAAAAAGGAGTGTTTGTCACACTGAAGAGTAACAAGAATTTGATATAGATTCTGAAGGTGAAGAGGTATTCCAAAAACCATTTTGGTAATTGTATAAATAATCTGAAAGTCATTTCTTTAGGGAAGAAAAACAGTTATTTTGGTAAGTTCTAGTATGGTTTCTAAAAACTCATGCCTAGGACTGATATCAGCAAAACAGCAGACTAGGTAACTCAGCCCTTATTACCCAGTGGAAATGTCAAAAAACAAACAAACAAACAAACAAAAAACCCCAAGCAAAAACTGGTTAAAACAGTCTTATAGAAACTCTGGAAAATAAACAAAAGGTATACAGCAACCAAGCAAATGTCCAATCAAGAAAAAGCCATATTCAAAAGAGTGGGAAATTCCATGGTGTTTTTACTTGTTCTTGCCCAGCCCTCTCCTCAGCATGGTGCAGTCTTGGTCTAGTAGTAGCAGCACAGTTCTCAATTCCTTCCATCAAACCCAAGGGAGCATAGTAGACTTCATCTGTAATGTTCTAACTTGTTTATGGAATGCCTGAGGATCTAATCTGTTTCACCTAACTTGGAACTGAGGCAGTAAAGAGCAACAGGCAGTACTTGGGAAGGTTGTAGGAAGACTAAGAGCTATAGATTCCTGAGCAAGAAATTATAGGTAAAGACATACACTATGCCATCTGGGGCTTGCAAATTCTGGGGTGACACTCTTTGAGATATGAATACATTTAAAAGCAGCTGTGTATGTAAAGGAATAAAAAAAAATCATACTCAGGCCCAAGCAAGATACATGGTCAGAAAACACCTGAGAACACATTAAGCCTCTACCTGATGCTGATTCTAAGGCTCAGAGCATGCTCACTCAGTGAAGGACTGCCCCTGCAGAGAACCAGTTTGAAATGACTAGAAGAGGTGGCTGTGTTTTCAGATCCCCAATTTTCAACAAAACACCAAGGGTGTATAAAGACATGGGAAAATATGATCCATTCAAAGGGAAAAAATAGAGTGGCAGAAACAATTCCTGAAGAAGCAGAGACACAGGACTTATTAAAGACTTTAAAGCAATAGTTTTAAATATGCTCAAAGAGCTAAAAGAAAACATGCACAAAGAACCTAGAGGAAATCAGGAAAAAATGAAAGACCAAAATGTGAATATCAATAAAGAAACAGAAATTATATAAAGGAAACAAATTCTGGTGCTCAAAAATACAATAACTAAAGTAAAAAGTTCACTAGAGGGATTCAACTGCACATCTGGGCAGGAATAAGAAAGAATTAGCAGGGTGCCTAGGTGGCTCAGTGGGTTAAGCCGCTGCCTTCGGCTCAGGTCATGATCTCAGGGTCCTGGGATCGAGTCCGCATCGGGCTCTCTGCTCAGCAGGGAGCCTGCTTCCCTCCTTCTCTCTGCCTGCCTCTCTGTCTACTTGTGATCTGTCAAATAAATAAATAAAATCTTTAAAAAAAAAAAAGAAAGAATTAGCAAATCTGAAGATAGGACAACTGAAATTACAGAGTTTGAGGAACAGAAAGAAAAAAATAATGAAGAGAAGTGAACAGAATCTAAGAGACTTAAAGGATTCTCTCAAGAAAAGCAACATATGCATTACATGAGTCCCAAAAGCAGGAGAGGAAGAAAAAGGTGCAGAGAAATTATTCGGGGACTAAAGACTAAAGACTTCCAAAATTAGATAAATTAGATAAAATACATAAACTGACAGGTCCAAGAAACCAAAGATATAAATGTAGAAGAGACACAATATAACCAAACTGTTGGAAGACAAATAGAGAACCCTGAAAGCATTAAGAGAAATGCAATTTGTCACATACAAGGACTCCTCAGTAAGATTATCAGCCAATTTCTCAGCAGAAAACTTAGAGGCCAGGAGGTGATGGGATGACATATCAAAAGTGTGGAGGGGTGCCTGGATGGCTCAGTTGGTTCAGCACCCAACTCTTGATTTCAGTTCAGATCGTGATCTCAGAGTCATGAGATCAAGCCCCATTTTGGGCTCTGCACTGGGTGTGGAGCCTGCTTAGAATTGTCCTTCACCCACTCTTGCTGTCCCTTCCCTGAATTCTCTAAAAAATAAAGTGTTGAAAGGAAAAGCCTGCCAATTGAGACTTCTATAACTAGTAAAACTGTCCTTTAAAAGATAAGGGAAAAGTTAAAATATTCCCAGATAAAGAAAAGCTGAGGGAGTTCAGGACTGATATACTTGTCCTCTAAGAAATGCTAAACAAAGTTCTTCAGGTTAAAATAAAATGAGAAGAGACAGCAACTTGTACTTGGTAAAGGTATATACACAGGCAAATATAAAATCTAGTATTATTTATATTTGATTTCATCAAATATAAAATCTAGTTTTGGCTTATAACTCCACATTTATATTTTACAGGATTTAAAGGACAAATACATAAAATGACTAAAATCTGTGTTAATGGGTACATGATGTATGAAGATGTAACTGTGAAATTGTGAAACAGAGGGGAAGTAGACGTAAAGGAGTTTTTAACCTACAATCCAGTTAAGCTGATATCAATTCAAAATAGATTGTTATAACTTTAATATGTTATATGTAATCTCCATGGTAACTACAATATAACTATAGAATATGCAAAAAAATGAGAAGGCAATCAAAATATGTCACTACAAAAAAGTCAAGCAAACAGAAGAAGGTAGTAATAGAAGTGAATGATAAAAGGCTCTAAAACATTGAAAACATGACAAAAGTCCTTCTTTATTGATAATTAATTTAAAAGTAAATGGATTACATTTCAGAATCAAAAGGCACAGAGTAGAGGACTAGAGTTCAAAAAATGACAACATATTTAGGTCTACAAGATACTCATTTTAGATCTATAGATATACGTAGAATGAAGGTGAAAAGATGAAAAAAGGCACTCTGTAGAAAGAGTAATCAAAGGAGAACTATGCTAATATTAGACAAAATAAACTAAGTCAAAAACTGTTACAAGATGGGGCGCCTGGGTGGCTCAGTGGGTTAAGCCTCTGCCTTCAGCTCAGGTCATGGTCTCAGGGTACTGGGATTGAGCACCGCATGGGGCTCTCTGCTCTTTGGGGAGCCTGCTTCCCCCTCTCTCTCTGACTACTTGTGATCTTTCTCTCTGTCAAATAAATAAATAAAATCTTAAAAAAAAACTGTTACAAGAGAAAAAGGACATTATATATTAACAGAACATCAAGAATATACAATTATAACACATGTACGCACCAAATTCAAGAGCTCTAAAATACATGACACAAACACTGACAATATCTAAGGGAGAAATAACACTATAATAATAGGTGGAGACCTCAATATCCTACTTCCTACTTCTGATAATAAATGGGAAAACCTTATAGAGTATCAATAAAAAGTAGACTACTTAACATCACAGATCAATTGCACCTAACTGGCATAAAGAGAAAAATCCACCCAACAACAAAGAATACACACTTCTCTCAACCATACGTGGAATATCCTCCAGGTTAGATCATATGTTAGGTCAAAAATCAAGTCTTTTAAAAACCCAACTTAAAAAAAACCCAAAAGCATACAAAGCATCTTTTCTGGTCACAATGGAAAGAAACTAGAAAACATTAACAAGAAGGAAATGAAAAATATTTGGAAACTAAATAACATACTCCTAAACACAAATAGGTTAAACAAAAAATAACACTAGGAAAATATCTTGAGACAAATGCAAAACAGAAATTTGAAAAATTGAAATGGGAGGGACGCCTGGGTGGCTCAGTGGGTCAAAGCCTCTGCCTTCGGCTCAGGTCATGATCCCAGAGTCCTGGGATCGAGAGTCTCACATCAGGCTCTCTGCTCGGCAGGGAGCCTGCTTCACCCTCTCCCACTGCCTGCCTCTCTGCCTACTTGTGATCTCTGTCAAATAAATAAACAAAATCTCAAAAAAAAAAAAATTGAAATGGGAGAGGAGTTAAGATGGCAGAGGAGTAGGGGACACTTAGTTTCTCTATTTCCTCAAATATAGCTAGACAACTATCAAATCACTCTGACCACCTGTGAAATTAATCAGAGATCTGAGAAAAGAAATGCTACAATTCTATAAATAGAAAAGCGACCACTTTCTGGAAAGTGCAGAGACTTGGATACGGGGTGATACACTGGAGGATATGGTGGAGATCCCAAGTGTAGGAACAGGGAAGCCAGCTGAAAACAGTGGAGGTACCAGTTTTCTGCTCCATTTTGCCATAAACTCTGACCCACTGCACAGTCCTGCTACCGCTTTCCTGGCAAGGTTCTAGCAAAAGGCAGAAGCATGGTGAGAACCCCCTGCGCCCCCCCCCCCACACAAAGCAGGAACAGTGTGGGTTCACAACACAGGTGTCCACAAAATT